TCTTACTATGAGAGAAAAACACCACAAGATTACAACTTGATTCCTAAACCTCAACTCTTGTATAATCTTCTCACCTATTAAGAACTCTCTCACTCCTTTCTTGTGTATCTTTATAGTATGCTAATCTATTTATTTATAGAGAACATTATTTGGCCAAAAATCAAATAAACAATTGGAAACTAATACTAATTCCTAAACTTATACAGAATAAGAAATAACATCTAAATCCTAAACCAAATATGAAATTTTTTGATTACTACTTCAAGTAACAAAAATCAATTACGAAACTAGTTACTTCCCATACAAAATAAGGATCTTGACTAAAAGAAATTAAACAAATTTTCTAACAAATCTACATCTTGGTGAATATTTCTTTTAGCAAACAGAGCAAACCATCCAAAAAGAAACTCCATTTGCCTTTTTACCACCAAATACTTTAGTGCCTAACTACACACTCGAATCAAAACGGTCTTATTTTCAATTGATTCAATTGGCAAATGAACTTGTATAGCTAACCAAGTCCAACATCTAGTTGACTCGCTAGAGGGACCTCAATTCACCCTCTCTCATAGCAGGATTTTTCCTCTCACCACCATTTATAATTTGAGAGTATTCCTGGATCTCCTTCGTTGTGTTACGCTCCTAAGCCATTAAGGTATTCAAATGGTACAAATTATCATACTTTTTTCCCATCAACAAGACTGTCTCGCCATGTGTGATTTTTAAAACTCCACATGCAGCTGAAAAATGGTAGCTCACAATTCTAACTGACTCAAAGAGATTAGATTCCTTCGTAACTTTAGAACATAAGCCACACCACCCAAAGAACGAATCTCTCCATTCAACATTTTAATTTTTACCACTCCAACACCTTTGACTTCATAAATAGATTCATCACCCAAAAACAAAATTTGCCTTCTTTCTTTGGAGAGTATCAAAATAGTTTAACTTGGAGCAGACATGTGAAACACATCCAGAATCTAAAATCCAGTCATCATGAGAAGAAGTGTTATTACCTTTGGAGATTGTGAGAATATCTGCACTTGATATATATCCAACAAAACCATCATACTCATTCTCATTATTTTTCTTATGATGAGGGCAATATCTTTTGATATGGCCAAACTCATGACAACCAAAGCACTGGACTCCACCCTTTCTCTTGGCCTTTGAACCACCTGCCTTAGATTCACCGCCAAGTTCTTTTCCTATTTTATTCTCACCTAGAGCAAGTAACGCAGTTTCTTGAGTCACATCCTAATTTGTCTTCCTTTGTTTTTCATGATCAAACAAAGATGACTGCACATTCTCGAATTCTAAAGTGTCTTTCCCATTGATAGGGTGTATTTTAGTGGGATAGTTTGGGCATTATTACACAATTATTTGACTAAATATTTTCATTAATTGGGTGAATTTTACTCAAATATGATTTTGGTGCCAATTGCAGGATGTGATGCTGAAAAGTACTTAAAATCGAAATTTAGAGGAGTCGTTGTACGTGGGCCACTTCAAGCAGTGGGGTCCGCTTGAGAAGCTGAAGAAACTAAATTGTAATAGACTTTATTTTATTTTATTTGAGGGAGTCTTTTTTTAATTTTTGAATACTAATTTCCGATTAGAGGAAATCTCTCCCTTGAATTTCGGTGCGACCAAAACAGATAGAGGGGAGTATTAGACTCGAGGAGGTCGGCTTTTGCAAGGAGATTACTTTTCGGCTGGCTTAGGTTTCTTTTCGTTCCTTTTTTGCTTTTGAATTGGGTCGACGGTAGCTTTGAAAAACAATTAGGGGACAAAACCACCATGGTTGACTTTGCAATTTTATTGGATTTTATATCTTGTGTGGATTGAATTGAAGAAACCAAGCAAAGCAATCTCTCGTAAGTCTTGCTAGTAATTAGGAGAAGGAATTAGGCCCGCAATTGTTGACCCTTTGGCTTTGCTTTTCAATTGACTTTGACTGGAATTGAAATAGGGCATCAGACCCTCTTTCACGTTTGCTCCGTGAGAGATAATTGGAAGCAATTAAATCCCGTGCATTTTCCTCCTGTAGTGGACCGAAGTGGGAGAATCGATTTGCAAACTTGTCCCAATTCTGCACGCGCGGTTTGTCCTCCATTAATGGAGGGCTAATTCTCTAATTCTAGTCAAGGGGGCAACTGACGAATTGGTTCAGCAATTATTGTGAGATCTAAACCGTTTTTAATTATTTTCTTCATTTATTGATATTTGTTTGTTTCCTGCTTCTAATTGTTATAACCCTTGTGTGTGATTGATTAGTGCGTAATAATTAATTATTCATATAGGCTATTTTGCTAATTAGGGGTAATTGAATCCGTAATTGTTCGTTATCCCAATCTTAGTAGCAGCTGGCGTAATTGGGTTTATGTCAGGGGAACATACGATCTAGTTTAAACAAACCCTTGTAGCATGCTTGTTAGTTAGGATTGGGCCTTTCTAATTATTAATGCAATCTAGAAATTAAATCCTACGGTCGTACCTAGGGTGTTTTTGGGTTAGAGAAATAGTTAACGGTCGTACCTTAACTATCGCGAAATTAAGGAAATGTTGGTTGTTTATCGCGTGCATGACAACTATAACTAATCTATTAATAAATGTTAGAATTATCTGTGAATCGATGATCAGTGCATGAACCATTTCCGAAGTGTACCCTTGGCTAGAGTTTCTCCAATTATTTCTTTTAATTAATTATTTCCTGCATTTTATCTATTTAGTTGGCGTTTAATCCCAAAAATCCCCCTTTAATCTTTACTTGAAAAGAAACAAATTTCTCGTTAGTCCCTGAGGAGACAATCCTACTTGCCACTGTCTACTAGTTAGTGAATTCAGTTAAATAATTAATTCAAGTATATCGGATTAAGCAAACTCTTCGGGAATATGGTGAATCAAGTAACCCATTGCACACCTAGAGTCCCTGCTCCAGTACTAGAATTGATTATTTACTGCTTCAGGTGGTAGTTGGGTTTTATTTATCATTATTGCACAGGTTCGGCACCTGTCAATTTTTGGCGCCGTTGCGGGGGACTGCATTTGAATTATTTATTTCTTTTTGAGTTCGGTTCCTTCTTGGAATTTTTGCTAGTTTATGCTTCATTCTTCTCGCACAAGTGAATTGATATACGACCTTGAGGTTGAGAAGGCAGCGCGTAAGCGAAGGCAAGAGACTAAGAGGCGAAAAGAAGGGCAATTATCTATTGCAAACGAATCAGTAGAAGACGAATTTAGCATGGCCAACACCCAAACATTAAGGGAGCTGACTACCCCGGAATTGACCCACCAGCCCTTGTGCATCACATTCCCCACTTTAGCTGAGAATACCGCCTTCGAGTTGAAGTCGGGGTTGATTCATCTCCTACCCTCGTTCCATGGTCTCTTTGGTGAAGAACCCCACAAACACGTCAAGGAGTTCAAAGTGGTTTGCTCTAGCATGAAACTTCTTGAGGTCACTGAGGAGCAGATTAGACTTAGAGCCTTCCCCTTCTCTCTCAAAGATGCAGCGAATGATTGGCTATACTACCTACTTGCAGGTAGTATTACCACTTGGGCACAATTGAAAAAGAAATTTCAAGAAAAATTCTTCCCCGTATCCCGGGCTGCGAGTTTGAGGAAGGAGATATGCAGCATTAAACAGTATCTCGGAGAATCCTTATATGACTATTGGGAAAGGTTCAACAAGTTGTGCACTAGATGCCCGTAACATCAAATTAGTGAACAACTGTTGATCCAGTACTTCTATGAAGGGTTTCAGTCAACTGATAGGAGTATCATTGACGCCGCAAGTGGGGGGGCACTGGCAAACAAGATGCCAAAGGAAGCATGGGAGCTTATTGAGTCAATGGCAGAAAATTCGTAGCAATTTAGCTTCCGTGAGAGCAACCTCATCCGTAGGGTCAACGAGGTTGAGACGTCATCCATTCAGCAACAACTGTCGGAGTTGACATCTGTTGTTAGGCAATTAGCAGTGGGGAACGTGCAGCGAGCGAAGGTCTATGGAATCTACACGAGCATGGACCACTGTACGGACACATGTCCCCTTTTGCAAGAGGACGGAGGTGAACAGGTGAACATGGCCGGAGGTATACCCGCGCCCTTAAGGCAGTATGACCCGTACTCCAATACATACAACCCCGATTGGAGAGACCATCCCAATTTCAATTATGGAAACAGGCCATAAAATTCACTCTCAAATCGTCCACCAGGGTTACAGCAACCATAGCAACCAAAGCCTCAACTTTCATCCTCCAACTCAGGAAGCTCTTTGGAGGATATTGTCAAGAGTCTGGCCACGACTACCACTTAACTCCAGCAGGAGACCAGAACATTGACCACGAATATGGCTCAGTTTCAGCAAGAAACTAGAGCCTTAACCATGAGCACTACTCAATTCTAGCAGGACACCAGAGCAGTCATGAAAGATATGGAGGCTCGAATAAGCTAAATGGCAACTGCCATCAATTGCCTGGAGTCCCACGTTTATGGGAAATTGCCGTCGCAATCCGAGGTAAATCTCAAAAATGTAAGTGCCATGACACTGAGGAGTGGCAAGGAACTGGAGGGACCTAAAGTAGAAAATTCGAAAAGCAAAAGTGAGGAGGAGATAGAAAAAGAAATTGAAGAGGAAGGACGCATTCGCGAGGATCCTAAGGTAACATTCACTCCTCCACCCCTTATTAAATCTAACTTACCTCCTTTTTCTTGCAGGTTGGAAAAGACAAAGAAGGTAGAGAAGGAAAAAGAGCTTTTGGATGTGTTTCGAAAAGTGGAGATCAACATCCCCTTGTTGGATGCAATCAAGCAGATACCAAAGACACCAAATTTTTGAAAGATTTGTGCACCCACAAAAGGAAGCTAAGGGGTGACGAAAGAGTAGCGGTGGGAGAAAACATGTCAGCTATACTCCAAAGGAAACTCCCACCAAAATGTGGAGACCCAAGTATGTTCACCATTCCCTGAAAATAGGAGGTACCCCAATTAGGAAAGCGATGTTAGATTTGGGGGCGTCAATTAATGTTATGCCTAAAACAATTTATGCCTCTTTTAATCTTGGGCCATTAAAAGGCACGGGCATTATAATCCAACTAGCAGACCATACTAACGCTTATCCAGAGGGGTTAGTTGAAGACGTTTTGGTACAGGTCAATGAGTTAGTCTTTCCTGCAGATTTCTATGTCCTAGATATGGGGGATGAGAGGTCATTAAATTCGTCACCTATTTTGCTAAGTAGATCATTTTTAAGCACTGCTAGGACAAAAATAGATGTGAATAAGGGTACTTTGTCGATGGAGTTTGATGGTGAAATTATAAATTTCAATATCTTTGATGCGATGAAATACCCGGATGAGGCTAACTCTGTTTTTACTTTAAGTGTTATTGAGCCCCTTGTACAGGACACATTTGAATTGGATGGGGACGATGCACTGGCAGTGGCATTGGCCAAACATCTTGAGTTGGGAGCAACTCCTGATGTAGAAATAACTGATGAGTTATACCGTGCAGTTGAAGCACTGCATTCGCTCCCACCAATTTCTCCAAGGTATGAGCTTACTTCTCTCTTTGTACCAGAAACTCAGGCGAAATTGTTGTCTTCTGTTGTGCAGGCACCTGAGTTGGAGCTCAAGCCTCTCCCAAAACACTTGAAGTATGCATTTCTCGACGATAAGGAGACACTGCCGGTCATCATATCTGCTCACTTGTCACCAAGGCAAGAAGACAACCTTATTCGTCTTTTTCGAGATCATAAGGAGGCAATTGGGTGGAGTATAGCAGACATCTAGAAAATTAGCCCCTCCTTATGCATGCATCGGATCCGGCTTGAGGATGATGCAAAGCCGGTAAGACAGGCACAACGGAGATTGAATAGAAGTGGTAAAGAAGGAGATAACTTAAATTCCTGAAAGTGGGAATCATTTTCGCCATCTCAGACAGTCCATGGGTGAGTCCGGTCCAGGTAGTCCCGAAAAAGGTGGGAGTAACGGTAGAAGAGAAGTAGGAAGGCAAGATGGTCCCGGTAAGGAAACCCACAGGATGGCGCCAGTGTATCGACTACCGGCGACTGAATGCCGTGACGAAGAATGACCACTTCCCTCTCCCTTTTATTGATTAGATGATAGAGAGAGGTTAACTGGTCGTGTCTATTACTATTTTCTTGATGATTTTTCAGATTATTTCCAGATCGCGATAGCACCGGAGGACCAGGAGAAAACTACATTCACCTGCCCCTTTGATACGTTTGCCTACCGGAGGATGCCTTTCGGCCTCTGCAACGCTCCAGCGACTTTTCAAAGGTGCATGGTGAGTATCTTTTCCGAATATGTAGAAAATATTATTGAGGTGTTCATGGATGATTTTAGTGTGTATGGGAATAGTTTTGATGAATGCCTTGATAACTTAGCTTTGATTTTGAAAAGATGCATAGAAACAAATTTAGTTCATAATTGAAAAAAATGTTACTTCATGGTGGAGCATGGTATTGTCTTAGGACATGTAGTGTCGGTTAGAGATATAGAGGTAGATAAAGTAAAAGTCGATATTATTTCTACTTTACCGTACCCCGTAAGTGTACGAAAAGTGCGTTCCTTTTTGGGTCATGCAGGATTCTACAGAAGATTCATCAAAGATTTCTCCAAAATTGGAATATCCCTGTTCAAGTTGTTGCAAAAGGATGTAGCATTTGACTTTACCGAGGAGTGCAAGATGGCATTTGACAAATTAAAGGGATCGTTAACTTCACCACCCGTCATTCAACCTCCCGACTGGAGCCTCTCATTCGAAATAATGTGTGACGCGAGTGACTACGCAGTGGGAGCGGTGTTGGGGCAAAGAATTGGCAGGGCAGCACATGCAATCTGCTATGCATCGAAGGCGTTGAATGGAGCTCAACTCAACTACTCTATAACAGAAAAAGAATTTCTAGCTGTGATTTTTGCATTAGAAAAATTTAGACCCTATTTGTTAGGTGCAAAAGTAATAGTTTTCTCTGATCATGCAGCCTTAAGGTACTTGATGACGAAGAAGGATGCAAAACCAAGGTTCATCAGATGGGTCCTGCTCCTGCAAGAGTTCAACTTGGAGATTAAAGATAAAAGTGGGGCAGAGAACTTTGTTGCGACCACTTGAACCGCTTGCTTGCACATAAGGAGGAGCAACCGTTGAGAGAGGCGTTCCCAGAGGAACAACTACTTGCCGTTAATTCGTCGGCACCCTGGTATGCTGATATAGTAAATTTTTTAGTGACTAATCAATTGCCTGCAGGTTGGTCAAAGGCAACGAGAGACAAGTTAAAGAGTGATGCCAAATACTATATTTGGAACGACCCCTACCTTTGGAGACAATGTTCAGATCAAGTGCTAAGAAGGTGTGTGAGTGCAGGTAAATTCCACTCCATTTTATATTTCTGTCATTCATTTGCATGTGGAGGGCATTTTGGGCCCAAACGAATAGCTTGCAAAGTGTTGGAGAGTGGCTTTTACTGGCCCACTCTTTTTAAAGATGCGTACTTATTTTGCAAATCCTGTGATAGGTGTCAAAGGGTGGAAAATATTTTTCGTAAGGACCAAATGTTTCAAACCCCCATGTTGTTTGTTGAAATTTTTGATGTTTGGGAGATAGATTTTATGGGTTCTTTTCCCTCATCTTTTGGTTTCCTATACATCTTACTTGCGGTTGATTATGTCTCTAAATGGGTGGAAGCCAAATCCACCCGTACTAACGACTCTAGAGTGGTTGCAGAGTTCTTAAAATCTAATATTTTTATCCTCTTTGGAATGCCAAGAGCTGTGGTAAGTGATAGGGGGACATACTTTTGTAATAAGACTATCGCTGCCCTGTTCCGAAAGAACGACGTAATCCACAAAGTGTCCGCACCGTATCACCCACAGACAAATGGTCAAGCCGAAGTGTCGAACAGGGAGATCAAATCAATATTGAAAAAGATGGTGCAGCTCGATAGGAAGGATTGGAGCTTGAAGTTAGAAGATGCACTATGGGCGTACTGCACCGCGTATAAGACGCCGATTGGGATGTCACCGTGTAGATTAGTCTTCGGTAAGGCTTGTCATCTTCCTGTGGAGTTCGAACACAAGACGTTTGGGCAGTGAAGCAGTGCAACATGAACTTGGAAGAAGCAGGGGTCCAAAGGAAATTGCAGTTATAAGAATTGAAAGAGATCAGGAATGATGCATACGAGAATGCCACGATTTACAAGGAGAAGAGCAAAATCTTCCATGATCAGCAAGTCTCAAGAAAATCTTTTGTAGTGGGGCAAAAAGTCCTCTTGTATCACTCGAGACTTAAATTTTTTCCCAATAAGTTGCATTCTCGTTGGATTGGTCCATTTGTCGTGTCTAATATGTTTCATTATGGTGCAGTGGATATCCAAAGTTTAAAGACGAAGAAAAAGTTCGTAGTGAATGGCCATCGTCTCAAACCTTATTATGAAGGATTCTCTATTGAAGAAGTAGACGTTGTACACCTCAAGAATCCAATTGATCTTGCTTGAGGACTCCGGCCGTGTCTAGCCAAAAACATTAAAGAAAGGCACTACTTGGAGCATGGTTTTTACCATTAAAGAATCCAATTGATCTGTTGAAGAGTTTTTACTGTTTTCATTTGTTTAATTAGTTTCGAGGAGTTTGTTGCCTATTTCTCTGATTGTTGGTGTTTGAGAGCTGTAATTGGTAAAACCTACCTTGTTGGCTGCCTGTTTCCTTCTTTTGAACACCATTACCATGCCTTTGCCCTGTTAACTGATATCCAATGACTAAACCAAAAACTAAGGGCAAGAACAAACCTTCCACCTCCACCCCACAGCCTACGGTCCCCTTGGGGGGACCTGCCCCAGCGACTGCTCCGGGAGGGCCCCGGACCCGCCTTGGGCGGAATAGGGAGGTTCATATCTTCTCTCCGACCCATTTTGGCGGTCATTTGACCTTCACCCGGGCTGTCGATAAGGAACGGTACGCCGCGGCTTGCACAAGGAAGATAATTCCTTGTAAATATATCCACGGCCCTACACTTGATATATTGTGAGGACTCGTAAAAACTATTATTTTTAAGCCTAATTTATGGCTTAATAAATTATCTAATTGAATTTTTACCACGAGTAATATTTTCTAGTCTCTTTAGACCTAAATACATGACAATATAATTTCGTTATATTTTTAAAGTGTCTCGTTTCAAAAATTATTTTTTTCTTAGGAACTTGTTTAGGGAAAAGGTGAAAATACGTTTGGAGAATTTTTGCCAATTAGGAGTACAATTAGCCCGGAAATTTTGGGACATGTACAATGGCTTTAAAATAGGTAATTTTAGATTTAAGTACTTAAGTGATAGTTAATAAAATTATCGTTATAAGAATTTCTTGGAGGTTTTGCGTAATAGCGTTAAAATTGTCGGTACGCGTTTTCATACGCGCGGCTTTATTTGAGGGACTTTAGACCCTTATTTCGAGACAATTAAGAGTGAATAATATTTATATGAACATAAGTACATTAGAGGTTTAGTGCACTAGTGAACCAAACGCGAGAGAAATCGAGCCCTAAACGCACCAAACGAGCCCTAATGAGGGTTGACTTTGGAGTGAATTTACACCACTCATTTTAATCTTCTCTTGGAAGCTAACCTTGATCAAATTTCACTCTTTCTTCTCTCACCAACAGCCGGCCAGCCTTCCCTCTCTCTCACTCCCTTGCTTCAAAATTTCTTCATCAAATTAACCACAAAACTTCAATCAATCTTCACCAAACTTGAAGACCATCTAGCAAACTACTTGGAGGTTGGATCTAGCAAATTAAAGGGCTGCATTTCACGGTTTCTTGGAGCCTCTTGAGGACCGAAAATTTCTGGTTTAAAGCACTAAGGAGGTATAACCTCATCCTACACCTTAAACTTGGATTATGATGGTAGAAATACATCTTTAAGCTATTGCATGTGTATGGATGGCTTGATATTGTTGGAAAATTTAAAAAGTGGGCTCTATGAATTCCCACACTTGGGTTGTTGCTGATTAGAGGATTAATGTTGGATTTAATGGTAGTTTAGTGGTTAAAATGATGGATTTATGGAGTATTATTGTTGGAAACTCAAAGTTGAGGTCATGACAAGAAATTTCCGAAACTGCCCCTGTTTTGTTCGGCCATGATAAGACCAATTTTTGGTGATTTATTGGCGTGAACCTGATGTTTATATGTTATGTTATATGTGTAAAAATTTTCATTGGAAAACATTAACGTTTAGATGGGCAAATGAATTTATTCGTGAACTAGGCAAGCTGGAAAATTATTTTCGGATAACCCTGTCCAGCGGTAGCATTTTGACCATAACTTTGTCCTCCGAAGTCGAAATTGAGTGTCGTTGGTGGCATTCGAAACTAGACATCCATACCTTTCCAACGGTATAAAATGCATATTCTGATCCGATGTGTAGGAGCCGAACCATTCGTTTTAAGATAGCTGTCCTGTCTCTCGGATCTGCTGGAATGGTTTGTAGAGGCAGCAACTTGAGGCTCAATTTCGAGCTGGTTGCTTGCCAAATTTCAGAACGTTTCCTTCTGTGAACTTTTAGTCCTACGAATTTATTTTCCAACGCCTTAAACCATGCTCAATTCCGAGCTAAATTGACTGAGTTGTGACCAAAACAAGAGGACTGCCCTGTTTTGGAAAAACGTAATATTTGGACTGATTTGGGACAAAACCCGGGAGCGATCTTATTAATTGAAATTTTTGATGCTAAACCATTACCAAAGGTATCATGGATGTATCTTAGACCTTTATTTCAC